TACTTTTAAATAAATATATAAATATAAGAATGAAATGATTAAATGATAAATGCATTACTTACTACCAAGTACGGGTGGGAGCGTCGATACGGCCTCTGTACAATTAGGTTTGTTGTCATACGTTGAGTTATGTAGGCCTATGTCAAACCCGTATTCGTCGACACAAAAGCATTCATTCTCAGACGGTATGCATTGAAGAGGGTCCCATGAGCCATCATCCAAACACGAATAAAGCCAAAAAATCGTCTCGTTATAGTATGCAGAAACTTTCAAAAGTAATTCACGTTGTTGAGCGCAAGTAGAGTTGACACCAATGGCTACAAAGTTGAATAAAATATTCTATACTAAATAACATTATTATTAAATTTATTATAATACACGGTAAAAGGTTACATAAATGCATAAACCAATTACCTGTCTCTAAATACCAGTCTGTCTTCCATTTTTATTTAGGTGTTGTAGTTATACTGAGCAGAAGCGTAGAATTGTAGAGGGGTTATTTAAATCTATAAAACTATATTTTTAAATACATTAACAATAATGCATTAATTGTTAATGTTATAATAATTATATTTATATGCTACTGTCTACTGTCTAATACTTATAACATCTAAATTGCTGGCTGTTTTCTATACAGTTGTAACAAGTATTGCTCAGCAGTTTAATAATGCATTAACTATAATTGATGTCTGTTATAATAACGTTATATATATGCTTCTGTTAATTAAACTTACAACATCCATATTGCTCGCCGTTTTCTATACATTTATAGCTACTATTGCACAGCGTATCAATTGAGATACAGGTTGTATTTGAACACAGTATTTCATCTTCAGCACAATCTGTTATGAAATATTGTAAAGAATATAAAATTTATTCTAAGTAAATGCGTTTGGTATATACAGTATTTATATTCTAAATTCATGTTCAGTGACATAATTGAACGTGCATTAGCCTTGTTCAGTTAATTTTAGCAAAGCATTAATAAGAATATATACATATATCCATTGTTTGTGTCATTCTTTCAAGAAATATAACAATTACCGTATCTATTCGAATAAACGCCCCCATTTGAATAACCCACCCACCACCCTCCCCCCATCCCTTACCACACACACACACACACACACACAGCCTCTCCTCAACACATTCTATTAATGTTGTACTCCGGTATTCTAACCTGATAAGATAAACACACAGGATCACATTTTGACGGTAATTATGTGTTGTAGTTCCACATTTACAATGAAAATTAAGAGAAGTTTATTGTGCATACGTATCTATATTTCACCAAAATAAAAACGGCACCCTCGATAGACGCCTTCCTCGAATAAACACTCCTCAAAAACCATTCTCAACAAGGAGTTTATTCGAATAAATACGATAATTTATATTACCTTAATAGAAAACTAAAAAAAAAAAATAAAAATAGAAAACGTGAGCATGTGCAGGAATGAATAAGGGTAGGAAAACTTTATAGGCGAAATGATACAGCACACATGCAAGCAAATATAAAACACAACAAAAATAAAATATAAGCCTTAGTGGTAATACAAAATACCTCGAATGACAATACCTTCTTCTGTGGAGTATTCTGAGCTAAAACCTGAAGTTGCACCCGTGATTGATTGTGTATACTCTAATGATGTTGTTACAATAGGGAATGTTTTACTTCCATAGTCATCTGGAGATTCGGTAGTTGGTGGTCTGACGTCTTCTTCTGTTGTCTTTGGTTCTTCTGGTGAAGTCCCGTGTCCCTCTATCAAAGATGTTGTTATAGGTTTCGAAGTTGGTTTTAAAGTAATTGGAATATAGGGCGTACTGGATTCAGCTGGTGCAATTGTGGTTTCGATAAATGCTGCATTCGTAGTTGATTCTGAAGAGTCTGTCATAAAATCTGACGATGATGGCTCCATTGGTTCTATAGAGGTTAACTTGTCTGAAATTTTTGACTCAGTGGAACTCTCTGAAATTTCTGTATATGGAGTCACAGATTCTTCTTGAAGTGATGTTGATTCCATAGAGTCACTTGTTGTTTGAAACTGGACTACTGTATTTTCTTCATAGGTAGATGTTATTTCAGATAGTTGAGAAGTTACTGTGTTATCTAGAAGAGGGGTAAATTTTGTGGTGTTTGGGAATGATTAAATGTAAAGAAGCAGTAATGAAATGGTTCTATAGATGTCACTTGACACCAGAAAGAGATTTTGTCATTGGATCTACAATATTAATAATAACATTTGGAAGAAAAGTTTTCAAACATTTTGAACATGCATTTGAAAGAAAAAGAGATATGACTACGGATGGCATGGGGGTGGGTTTTGACAAATATTGTGCATTATATGTCTGGTGCATAAAAAACACAGCAGTTGCAGAATATTTGTAGCGGTGAAACTTTGTAAGGCGAGGTTACATGCTAAAATGGTGCGGTAATTAGGTAAATCATGCCTTGGTAGTTATCATTTCCTTACCTATAACTGGCATGACAGTCGAACTTGCTGTAGGAGGTAGTATAACATTTAATTAAAAAAAAGAAAACAAAATCCAGAAGATTAGTTGTATAATCATACACAGGCAACAGAACTGGAATTCATTTAAACTTTAATGAGAAAACGAAATACATCAAACACACTCTAATATACAATAAATTATTCTCTTCTGAGAGGTGTTCTAAAGTGAAAATCGGGGAAGAAATGCAAAAATAAAAGGACGTGATTGATACATATTGGGAGGAGTAACTCGAATCGTAAAAGCAAGAGACTGGTTTAGCTGGCTCCACTTTCTTAAAGGATTCGTGCAGCAGTGGAGATATAATACCTTATGAAGTATATCATTGAGTAAGATATGAGGTTATTTACTAACCCGTGGCTGGTTTAACGCTTGGGTTTGTTGTTGGGTGTTGTGCATCATAATCTGAAATGAGATGTGTATATGTGACGACAATATCTTCAACACGAACTTAATAATTATTAACACAAAAAGTAATATAGTTTAGCATTTACTGGTTAAAATGCACAAGTCTCTAGATGCAAGTCAGTCAACCAAGAAGTCAATCAATTAAATCAAGGTATACATCGTTTAACAGATGAGAGATGAAATGTAAATATTTCCCTAATTAGATATATACATTAGCAAAAAGAATGGAAAAAATAGAGTGTTAAAGAAGACAAATAAAAATATGTCCACGGGCAAAGAATTCTTACATTCCTTGGAAAAAACAGTGTTTATAAACGTTTTAGAAGATAGAGAGGAAAAATATATTATTGTATGAATTCCAAAATTATAATTGGATGGGGCATTCTTAGGTAGAAGACAATGCAATCAATGCTAAAATGTCATTAAGCTTATGGAAGATTCTAAGCACTGTCGAGTGCACATCCTCTTCATAAAAACATCACCATAACCATGGAGGTATGCAACATTTTATATTTTTATACCGTCGTGCTATAACATAACACTCAATATAAATAATTTTGAGGGCTCTACAGTGGATTTGTTGAAACCGTTCAGATTTGGAGTATAGTCAGGGTCGTTCCCTCATAATAGTGTGGTAGCATTCAAAAACATTAAGACAACACACAACTGTTTTATTATTACCGGAAGACGAACAAGCTGTAAATTTCACCAACATTCAAGATTTACCTGTGACCGAGACACTTTCTGGATCGATCATAATTTCCCCAATAACGTTACTGTTTCTTGCTAGTTCATTTTGGATCTCACTTTCGACTTTATTTGAAGGGATTATTTTCGTTGATTTGAAAATTAAATCAATATCTACAATCACACTTCCAAAGCTGTAAATAAAACATAAACGAACGGAGATGAGGTTCAAGATTCATTCAAGATTCTTTATTTGTCTCCTTTTGGAAAATCAGTTGGTACATCACATCGCAACACAAAGTGCAGGATTAACAACAATATGATTATAATTAGGCCCTAAAATTTATTTAATATTTTGATTAAGAATTCTAATGGATAGTGGTACGAATGAATTGAGAAATCTGTTTGTTTTACAGATTTGTGATTTTAAACTTTTACCCGAGGGTAGCCAAGTAAAAGATGCGTTTAGTGGGTGCGTTTAGTTATAGTGTAAGTTTTGTTTTTAAACACTGCAGGCATACTTGTATCTGAATTGAGTACTAAACTGAAATCTATATAATTACTGGAAATGAGATATCATTAATTTTTGCTAATATTTTGTGGCTTAGACTATTAATTCCCCCATAATATATTATTGTAATAATTTATTTACATTATTACGGTACTTTATTTCAATTAAATCTAGTTAATACAGCCAAATTACCATCTCTTCCTTCAGACACTTTTACGCTGACGAAGGCAGCAGGTGCTGCCGAAAACTTCGTTGAATAAATGTACATGTCTCAAATTATGTCAAAGTGTCCGGCGTTTATGTTAACAACTGCAGTGTTATTTTA